TTCATGAACCCTTTTGCAGCCCTACAGCACACCTTCAAAAACTTGAGATTATCCCTAAACCCTAGACCCTAAATCCTAAACCCTAAACCCTAAACCCTAAACCCTAAACCCTAAACCCAAACCCTTTCAAAAGCACAGCAACCTCGGAATCAGCCCTATGAAGCACTCTCACAGACCACTCGTACAGCCCAGCAAAACCCGTACAGAACCCTTCTAAACGCGTTGTACAAGACCCTTGTAAAAAAACCTACCGAAACCCTGATAGAATTTGTATAGAATTCTGTGAGCCCTTCTAACACCCTGAAAGAGACCCTCAAACGACCCGGATAGAACCTTTCTGACACCCTTATAAAACCTTGCGAACCCAGATCGGAGCATTGCCCTGAAATCCGAGCTTCCGGCCTCGGCGGCCCCTTGGTCAGAAACTTTCGGCGCTCTGTTGAGGACTGTTGAAGGACGTCGTAGTGGCAGTAGTAATAGTACTGATATACTCATGATACCAATCATAATGATAAGGACTTTTGAAAGACATAGAGGTCTTTGAGGTTTAAGGGCATCGGGTTTGAGCGGGTCTTTAGACTAGAGCTCTGAGGCGTGTCATAGTAGAAGAGCCCCGAGGGTCTGAGTACTGACTGTTGAAGCTTTTATACTGCCCCATACGGCTCCAGGGCTCCGAAACCCAAGTGAAATTGAGGGCCATGTATGGTTTCTTAAGGGTTTGATGGCAAGTTCTCTGGCTCTAGTCGGGCTTTATAGGGTTCTTTGAAGGGGTCTGAGAGGCGGATGTGAACACTTTGGGTCGATATTCCTAATTATTTAATGGTCTAGTTTAGCAAGTATCAAGTATCACCGTGCTTGAGGCCGATGGTTTTCGGTTCAGGGTTCAGGGCTTATGCGTGCCGACAAATCTGCAACCTTCCAGTGGCCTTTTGCAGATGCAAACAGGCATCCGGGTTGTCATGAAGGTTGTGCAGTACCAACTATGTCTGTGAGCATCCGCTTGAAAGTGCTGTCGTGCTGAGACCTGCTCCAACCATCTATCGGCGCCGGCTTCCAGCAATAACCTGTGCGACTTCCAAGTGATCCTTCTCAAATGCGAGTACCAAGCATGTCTTGCCGTCGTCGTCGCTGCAATCTGTTGCCGCGCCAGCTTCGAGCAGCAGACGTACAACTTCCAAGTGACCACTCTCAGATGCGAGCATGAGGGCTGTCTTGCCGTGAGGGTCAGCAACATCTTTTTCAGCACCCGTTTCCAGCAGCAAACGTGCAACCTCCACGTGGCCACTACGAGATGCCATCATCAATGCTGTCTTGCCCTCATTGTCCGTGTCATCTTTTGCACCCGCTTCGAGCAGAAATCGGGCAACCTCCGACCGACCCTTCGCAGACGCAAGCATCAAGGCTGAACAGCCGCGGCGGTCCGTCAACTCTACTCCAGCACCAGCTTCTACCAGCAATCGTACAACTTTGAAATGACCACTCCGAGATGCGAGCATCAACGCTGTCCTGCCTTCATTATCTGTGCAATCCCGTGCAACACCAGCGTCCAGCAGAATCCGTACAACCTCGAAGTGAGCCTTGTCAGCTGCGAGCAGTAGGGATGCCCTGACATGACGGTCTGGGACTTCCTTTCCTGCACTTACTTCGAGCAGCAAACGTACAACCTCAGAGTGACCACCCCGAGATGCCAGGATAAAGGCGGTCGTGCCGCCATCATCTGTGTCATTTATTGCGGCGCCAGCTTGCAGCAGCAATCGTACAACCTCCAAGCGGCCCTTCTCACATGCGGGCAGTAGGGCTGCCTTGACACGAAGCTCTGCAAACTCTTGCCCAGCATCAGCTGCTAGCAGTACTTTTACAACCTCCGTGTGGCCACACTCAGATGCAAAAACCAACGCTGTCTTGCCTCTATCATGTGCAATCTCTGTTCTGGCACCAGCTTTCAGCAGCAGACGTACAACTTCCAAGTGACCATTCTGAGATGCGAGCATCAAGGCTGTCTTGCGGCTGCCATGAACTTTGCAATCTTTTTCAGCACCCGCCTCCAGCAAACAGCGCACCACTTTCTCCCGACTCCGTCGACAAGCATCTGCCAAGTCTGCCGCAGCTAAACGTGCCTCACTTGCCCAGTTGTTGAGGGATTATGATGCAAATCTATGTTTGGCCTTTAAGGGCTACACAAGGACTATAGCATCCCAAAGAGGACTAGCAATTAGGGACTGACTGTAGTACCCCCGAAAGCTTAACTTTTGGCAACATACAAGGAATTACAGGGACTATAGAACTGCGGAAAAATACATGCTGCCTTCTGGACTACCAAGGCGCACTCTTGTCCCTTTGCCAGTGGCCCGAGATGGTCAGAAGCACTAACTGCAGATCCATCGGGGCGGCTAGTTCTGCGCCGTCATCCAACAGATTTCCCTCATGCAACAGTTGCTGCAGATACACAGGAAATCCATAGACTTCACGCAAATGTGTCTTCAATGCCGCCACATTTTGGCACTCCACTGCGCGGGCGACGACCAGCTCTTGCCCAGAAGGTCTAGCGACACGAAGCATTCCGGCAAAGGGCTGGTAACTGACGTCACAACCCGGAGATTCTAAACCCTAAGCCCTACCTTAAACTACCAAACCCTACTTTTTTGTAGGTCTTATTATAAGCCCTAGTATGGAATCTATAGGGACCCTACAAAAAAGTAGGTTTTGGTAGGTTAAGGTAAGCCCTGAACCCTTCTATCACCGCACCGAAACCCTGGCTTCGTCCCAGGCCTTCTGACCGAAACCCGTCCCTCGGGTTACACAGTGTATACTCTTTTTGGAGGGCCAGTGCATGTCATACATTATTTAGGTTTAGGGTTTAGGGTTTAGGGTTTAGGGTTTAGGGTTTAGGGTTTAGGGTTTAGGGTTTAGGGTTTAGGGTTCAGGGTTTAGGGTTTAGGTATAAGCAGATGGAACCGTCAGGAACCTGAAGTTCATGTGCAAGCGAATGAAGATGCTGCGACGCAAATCTGCTCTCGGGCCGGCATGCTGCGATCGGCTATGCCATGCCAGTAATCAACGAACCGACAAGCTTACTGCTGCTGCTCCCTTCTGATCTGGCTTTTATGCCGCAGCATAAGGCATCATAGAGCCCTCATAAACCCTACGCAGCTTTCGAAATCCCCTAAACCCTAAACCCNNACCCTATAAGCCCGAAGCCCTATAAACCCTAAACCCTGAACCCTAACCCCTGAACCCTATAAACCCTAAACCCTATAAGCCCTCAACCCTAAACTCTAAACCCTAAACCCTATAAGCCCTAAACCCTAAACTCCATGAAAGACTACAGACTCGGGCTCCCAGCCTCATGCCTTGGCGCCGCTTTGGGTCGACCTGCGACGGAAGCTGGAGCCATGGGCTTGTCAAGGTGATCGGCTTTTTGGGGGTTTAGGGTTTAGGGTTCAGGTTTGGCTTAATTTGGGGGCCTTGCTAATTAGAATAAGGTTTAGGGCTTAGGGTTTACGGTTTAGGTTTTAGGCCTTACTTGGCTGACAGGTTTTTTAGGGGGTTTCGGTCTTGGGGGTTTTGGCATGTCGGGGTCTTGGGTTTCTACAAGGGATCTACAGAGGCTGCAAAAAGCTTCTAGAACGGGCCTTTTACGCGCTTCCCTTCCTTGGGTCCAACAAGGGTTCTACACGGGGTCGGGCTTTCGAGTCTATGTAAGGTCTAGCACGGTCTCTTAACAGTCAGAACAGTGCTTCGTGTGTTGACAAGTAAATACGGACTTCAAAGGGCTACTGAACACCCTGAACCCTAAACCCAAGCCCTACACCCGAATTTTTCAGACCTCTGAAATGGGGCTCTACAGGGCCATGGGGTGAGTTTGAAACCTTAAACCCTAAACCCTAAATCCCAAAAAAACCCTAAACCTCTAAACCCCTAGCCCCTAAACCCCTAAAAACCCTGAACCCTTGTCATCGTAAAGGGCCCAGAAAGCTTGCTGCTGCAGCGATAGTAGCGGGAGTGGTCCGGGCCCACTAGACAGGCCCACTAGAAAGGCTTTAGGGTCTAGGGATTGGGTTTAAGGTTTAAGATTTATGCAATCGGTAATGCGGACTGGGGTCTAGGGTTTGGGTTTAGGGTTTCGGGTTTAGCGTTTAAGGCTGGCCAATAATCTCGAGTATTGCACCCGTCGAATAAGCATCAAAGCCTTCTGGTTCCAGGTCGTTGTCAGAATCGTATCATACTGATGGTGTCCCGTAGTAAGCATGACCGAGAAGCCCGAATAATTAGTAAGTCAGTTGCTTAGTTGCTCCGGATCCGTTCTGTTTCTTGTAGTGCATTTCTTCCCCAAGCCCTATCGTTAGCATTGAAGGGTTCCCGTACTCCTGCTGGGAAAGGTCAGATTCCATTTGGGGCTACAGACCCAAACTGAGTCCTAAATCCTTCACTCTGAAACCTGAACCTTCAGCGTTTTAGGTTTAAGATCTGAGGCCATTGAGCTCGGCTTTGCGATGCTCTATTTACACCCTAACCCTAAGCCCGAAGCCTCAATCCTAAACCCCTGGTATCCGAAGCCGTAGGATGATGGAGATCTCACGTTCCTGAAGCCGTCATACAAAGCCCTGAGTTCAGGGTTTAGGGACTTTGGGCGAAGCTTTCAGAGACTAAGACTCTGGCCCAGGCAAAGAGACACACTAATTACGAAAGAACCACATGGCGTGACACGCGCCGGTTTGAGGTCCTAAGGGTTTGGAGTGGTAATTCCGGAGCACCAAGGAGGTTCCTAGAGCAGGTCTACATGACTCCTGACAGTATCGAGGTGTATACGCCCCTTATACACCAGGTGGGCAGATACAACACAGGGGAGATCCTCTAACTTCTTCAAGCTAACCCGACGAGCTCCACAGTGCGATGTCAAAACCTTTTCCTGCGAGACTGCAAAAGGTGATGCTAAGCCGTGAATTTTTGCACAGCTCTACGAGGTGTGCCTCAGGCATTGAATGCAGAAGCTGCTGGGTGTGGGCTCGGAGTTCAGGGCTTGACTTCTGTACTTTGCAGGCAGCTCGCCCGCAACGCCCCTGCAAGGGTTTAAGGTCTCAGGCTAAAGATTTGGGTCATCATCATCATCATCATCATCATCATTTTTGTTGTTGTTGCTGTTCTTGGTGGTGGTGCCGTCGTTGCAGTTGTTGTTTCTGCTTATTATACTGCTACTGCTACTGCTACTGCTACTGCTACTGTTACTACTACTGCTACTGCTGCGACTCCTACTACTACTACTACTACTACTACTACTACTACAACTACAGCTACAACTACAACAACAACTACTACTAGTACT